CTTTCAATCAATTTTAACTATTCCACACCTCATACAATCCCATTATAACATCATTCAATCATACAACAACTCACCAACACAATCCTAACAACAATCCCAAACACAAAGTCATGACACCATCAAATTTTTCTAAGTTAAAAATCATATTTTTCACCAATAATTTTTATTACATTTATGGCTCTTACACATCATTATAAGACATATTCATGTACAAACATTTTCCATTTGAGCTCTCTAACAACACAAATCAACAAAAACCCCCTTTAGGGTTCATGAACTAAATCCAAAGATTAAACCATTGAAAAGATGAAGAAACTTACTCACAATCTTGGCACAAGTCTCCTCCTAGACATCCTAAACCATTGGAGCTCCAAACAACTCCATGAACACCAAAAATCTCAAGGAATTCATGACTTATTTTTGCCTATTTCTCACAAATGAGAGGGCTTCAAGGCTAATAGATACCACCAATATGTTTGGAAGGTGATTTCCAACAAATTTCAAGACAAGAATCAATGGATTTGGTTGAGTATTGGTGGAGTTATGGAGGGAGAAAGATTTCAATGAAAATGGTGGGGGAGAGGGGAAGGGCCGCGATTTTCTTAGGGAGAGGGGAGAGAGAAGTGATGATGAATAGTGTATGCTTAGGTGTTTAAGTGACTTTCAAGTGAGGTGGGCCCCATCGTCACCTCACGCGATTTCAAACTTATTTGAATTTCACTCTGATTCCACTAAACGTCCATAAATTCATAACCTATTTAGAAACTCTAATTTTTAACATTAACCATTTTCCTTTAATTACCCTTGATCAGATGAATCCGGAGTTTTTCGGTCGTTCGGAGAAAATGTTGTTTTAAGCTGTTGCGTGCGCCGTTGGCACGCTTCCCCAAACTTACTTATTTCCATCGAATTTTATCAGAAATCATATTCCTTTGTTCTATAAACAATTTATAACTTGTATTCAAAATCTAGAGCTCAAAACTCAATCTGCACGCTTTACGGTGCAACTGTACCGCGATATTTTTACCCGGTAAAAACACTATTTACTGAATTTTTTGAAACTTGCCTAACCACTCAATTTTTCTTTCTGAATCTATTTCCAGGGTTATTCTTATCATCTGAGACCTTCTACTCAATTTTTATCTTCCTAAGGTTGCGTGTTGGCTAATTACTGTTTTACCCTTTCTTTGTATTCTGACCTAATTTTCAGAATTTTCACTAATCCTTCTCTTTAATCAATGTGTAACATCCCGCGTTATTAGGGAATATGAAATATTACTAGGTATAAGAATGCATGCATGGCGATTCGAATCATACATATGGGTATGATTGTTAATTTTATGTGTTGTGGACTAGTATCGAATTAAAATCTAGTTAGGAAAATTATCGAATTATAGTGATGAGTAAGGAATTATGTTAGTCATAAGAAACTTAAATTTTGAACTAGAGGAATATACTAATAGGAAAGAAATCACAATTTTACGTAAGACTTATGTGAACCAATAATTGTGGGTTAATGTTTTAACATAATGCACCAATTTGGATGATGCATTCCATTGGATTGTTGTGGGCATGGCCGAAGGCCCAAGGACTTAGAGTCATGTGTGCAGCCCAATTTATCATATCTTCACCTTATTAAAAGAATCCTAGTAGGCAACTTACCATTGGTTAAAAGCAATCCTCATGACAAGAAAATCCTATCCCTATTTCTCTCCAAATTGTACGCCTAGGGTAGTGAAAAGTGTGCAGAGAAAATTCTGAACTAGTCCCCTCTAAAGTGTGCAAATCGGTCCACCCATTTCCCTGCTCTTCTCTGCGCATCAGATTTACAAAAGAAAGCAACATGGTTGCTTGTTAGACTATCCATACACTACCAACTTTATTACATGCAGCCTATTGCTGAAAGGTGGCCAGCACTGCATGAAAATTCATTGGACAAAAATGCCACACACACATCACCATCCTGCGCTCCAAATGAGGAAAGGTTCAGTCACTTTTCTGATGGTTTGCAAAGTTAAATTCAGCCTTCTCAAATCTCCTATTACCTCTTGTGCATTTCCAAGTGTGAATTAAAAGCCTTAGTTATTTTCTGGTCCTAAAAGCAAACCCTTAGACCCTTCTTCTCACCATATTCAGCGTTGTGTACCCTCAAGAATAGGTGCAAGTGTTGCCTTGCCTTGTTGTGATTGAAACATTCCACTAATTTCCTCCATTCCCCTTAAACTGTGATACAAACAATGAGAGCACATCCATAAGTAACTTCACATCTTCTCCTTGTACTGTGCTTCAAAACCGTGAGCCCCTTAAGGAAACATTAGAGTTTTGAACACACTTTGTCTACCCTCTCTCCACTCGGCCACATCTCACTAGTTTAAGAGGTAATATGCTACATCCTTTTCACTAGCTGCTCATGGTCTTACATTCCCTATCACTTTTGGATTGAAGAAGATGTTCCACTGTAAATGGCTACTAACTTGAGCCAGTATTCTTCTCTTTTCTTTTGCACACTCGGTCATCATCTTGAAGGGGGTGAGCCTGCTAGCCGTGGAGCTCAAGAGTTTATAGTGTTGCTTCTCTTTTCTTCTTGTGTCCCTCGTGTGCTTGCAAAAAGGGTGAGTACTAAAACATTTTCCTTCCCTCCTCTGCCCAAATCGTGATATGTATATGTTAAGAAGAGGTTTTATAAGTTTTGTTGAACCTTAACGTCTCTACCTTACCAAACTGTTTGGGCTGTAAATAACTGTATCATGAAATCTAATGAAGGACAATAATCAGGACATCACATATACTCTCTTGTAGCGCCCTTTTTCTTAATTAAATGAGTTTTAGAAAATTCAATCCTTGTTGTTTTAGGGTAGAGGAAACCGGATCTGTCATATTGAACTTATTAGGTCCTAGTCTCCATTTAAAATAGTTAGACAGCATGATACATGGGTTCCATCTTGCGCATTTCATGACTAGAAGTAGGAGCCTTTAAGAAATTGTTCACTGTTAAACGTTGGTAAGTTTATTAGGTTCTCTTTTCACAACCATGGCCTCGTAGAAATAAATTTTTTATATATGTCATCAGCCCTCTACATGCCAAAACCGAACCTGTGTAGAAAGAACACAATAGGATTCTTTTTGTTTTGAAACTTATATATGACTGTGGTATTTAAATCAGTTTAAGTTAGAAAATTTTCTTAGAAGAAGCATGAAAAACCGAGTCTGCCTTAGTGAGAAAATTATAAAAATTCCTCACCGTTAAGCGTTATGGAGGATAAATTGAAGTCAGAATTATTTTGTAAAAAATAAGTATATGGCTGAATGATGTAGGGACTCTAAACTCGGATTTTTTGTTGACATATTGTAGGAATAATTGAATGTGCACTGATTTATTATAATGTAAAATTAGGTGTGAAAAATCGTTGAGACGTTGGACTGTTTCGTTGTGAATCGGTAAAGTAAATTCCGACGTACGAGGTATGTGTAGGCGGTATTACCTAATGTGACTATTGGCTAGTGTATGGAATTGTGATGTGTTGCTCACATTTGTTCTATGTATGTTATGATGATGATGAGCCAATGGTAAGAATATGAAAGGATGATATGATATATGCATGCATTTTACATCATAATACATTTTTCTGTTGGGTGCGATTGCATAACATGGCATGTATACTTGATTCATGACATCTTGAATATATATATATATATTTGTATTGAGGACATGTGACTGAGCATGCATCATATAGGCATGCCTGGTACCAGGAGAGGGGACACTTGGCTTCAGTCCGCATAGGTTCCACAGTGGGATTCACCTTCATGGGAGCCATTAGGAATACCCACTGTGATGCTACGCGCACGACGGTGCTATGAGCGTAAAGGAAAAAGGGCGTTATATAGGCGTTATGATATATGATGAAAAGGATTAAATGTTTGAAGTGACTATTTATGATTTTGTGCCTAGTTAATACTGTTGTATTTGGTTTTGTTGCCACACTACTGGGTTTATTCTCACCCCAAACTATGACTTATTTCTGCTTTAAGTCTTTTTATGAACAGCGGCTGCTTTAAGAAATCTGAAATGTTTTGCGAAAAGGGACTTTCTTAACGTTTATCAAATGCTGAATTTTTAACGATTTACGGACAACTTACGAGTTATGTTTCGAGGGGAAAATGAACTCTGATTTACTATTATTTTATACGCACGCAAAGCCCCAAGCGTCTACTTTCAGATTCTGGAAACCGTACAAAAATATTTTGAAAACTCAATTTGATATTGATTTTGTACACGAACTGTTTTTGGGAAATTTCCAACTTTGCAAACAGCAAGGTTTTTACAAAGTTTTATCAAGAAAATCTTATTAGCTTTCCACTTTCATCACTCAAGGGTATTTTAAAAGAAAAAGTTCGCTACTAAATTCTGCAACTCTAATAATGATTAGCAAACGACTCTCTTGGATGCATACAAGGTAGGGTGTTAAACAATGTTTAATATTTTAATATATAATTTAGGATTGCGAGGTGTTATAACCTGTAGCAAAATAGCCCAATTTAATTGAATTTGGACTTAATTTTTGTTTTTGCATTTCAGGTGACCCAAGTCCACTCCACAAGGGCCCAACAGGAAGTTGATTGATATGATCCCCCAATAGGATTGGAGGAATGGATCTACTAGGAATGGAAAATTATAACTCCAAATTCAGCCGCCAACATGTACTGTTAAAAACAGAACGTATCTCACGCTACGGACCTCGGATTTGGGTGATTCCAAAACGAGGTGAAAGATGGCTTCCTGAATCACGATTTTGGCACAAGAATCACCGGAAAAGGATAAGGAATTAGGGAGATATGAATCCAAGATAATATAGAACGAAATTGGAGTTTAAGGATTATAGGTAGGCGCCACAATTCCAAAGAATTGATAAGCCCAAGAACGCCACAAGGATTGATGCCCTTGATAAGTTCGGAGATTCTCAAAAGAACCCAAGAGAACTAGTCTCACCAAAATAGGTTAACTTGATATTCCAAATCTGTCTTCAAAAGCCATGGTGTTCCCTTATATAGTGGGCTACAACCATATTGAGTTTAACCTAAAAGTGCTTACACATAAAAGAAAATAGACAGCCCAATAATCCAGCCCAATAAGCCTTATTACAAAAAGTTTAACTAAATATAAGAAAATAAAATTAAGTGCAGAATTTGGGCCAAGTAAAATAAAGCCTTCATGCATATCCATTGAGGCTTATTCTTCAAGGTCTTCAATTTGAATTAAGTGTATCATTTTGGGCTCTTCTTCCTTTAGACTTGGGCTTGTCTCAAGTAAAGTGGTCACCAAGAGATTTAGAGCCTCTGTAGCCTTTTTAGCTTTTGCTCTTGTCATTGGGCCTCCAAGACCTTGTATGTCCTCCAAGTTTGTTGTCTTGGTCACGCCACCTCCTATGTCCTCATCATTGATGCTACTTTGGAGGAGAAAAGAAAAGAAAAGGACAAAAAGACAAAAAAAGGGACAAAAGCTGCAAAAGATGGCATGAATGAAAAAAAGTAAACCTACATTTGTTGTCCTTACCTGGAAAAGCAATGGAGCAACAACAAAGGCGGGAGACAAGCAAAAAGAAGGATGAGAAACACAATTGCAACATAATAACATTCAGACTTCAGCAATAGAAGAGGATAAACAAATCAAAATATACCAAAAGGGCTAAGCTAGAAGGAGCCCATCTGGGAGCTAAATGAAATATGACCCGTTGAATCCCATCAACGGCCAAGATCATTTCAATGAGGATAGAGCACCTATAAATACAGAGGAAGACAACACAATTCAAAGTTTTTGGAAAGGACCTCACGTCCTACTCTTGTTTCTTCTATTTTCCTGTATTCTTCCCTTAATTTCTTTTGTTTTTCTCTTAGTTTGTAATTAGGAATTTCTATAATTATGCTCCTTAGTATGAGATAAGTTCTTTTAGAAGGCCAAAGGGACATAGAAGTATCCCTCTAAGTTGAACTTATTATGTAAGCTTGCTTCCATTAATGGATTTTAAGATGTTTCTGCTTTATTGCTCCAACTGACTAGTGTTGGGTTGTTTGCTGATGGTGGAAAAATATAAGTTCTGATAGGGGACGTTCCTCTGTTCTTGCAGAACACAGATTCGTCCCTTAGTTCCAACTCAAGTGCGCAAGTGCATGCATCAAGTAATAAAGGGAGTATTAATGCCCAAATTATCGTTCCCACGAGAATAGAGTGCTAATTATTGTTTTATCACTGTTTATAAAGAGTGAAAATGAGAAGAAAAGTTAGTAAATGAACTGTCAGGTCAAATGTTCCCTACTGTCTTGACAATGTTCCTCAGGAACAGTAGATTCAATCTGATGGCAAACAGTTGCTCGTTGCGTTATGTATGTGATCCTTCCTGTTTAGAAGAAGGTGAGATAACAATCATTGGAGTTTTTATAAGTACTAAATGAAATAAAATAAAACTACTAAAACAGAAATAACTATAATCAAGAGACAACAAGGTGGTGGTTAAAATAGTTTAACAGAAGGAACAGATTCACTGCTTCACTCTTAAAGGGGCTGCTTTCTCTGCTCAAGACTTAGCACCTTTTGGCTTTGTCCCAGTTTCTTTGCCTGCCAACTTTGATTCCTAGCTCATGGTCTAGATGACTCACAAGTTTCCATATTCCTATGGCTCCCTTGACTCCAATAGGTACTTAGTTTAGAACCTTAAAATGGACGAGTTGGCCCCTTTTTCCCAAGGTGACCAGTTGCGTTTTTTCCATGACATCTACCTTCCCCCAATGGCTAAGCTGTCTGAAATCCCTTCCTTATGGAAGTTCCTTTCTCAGTATGTACCCAATTTCCATTGGCGCACAATGAATATAGCTTACTTAGCCAAAGAAATACAAAAAGCTTCGGTCAAGAGTTTTGAAAACAGTTCTTTAAGAGTTTCACAGTTTAACCGTTCCACAGATAGTTCAGCTCATGGCTGATAGTTTAAACATAATTATTCTCAACTGAGATCACATAGACCCGAGATTCAGTCAAGAGATAATGATTGGAACGAAGAGAAAAACACTTATATTAATTTAAATAGGCAGCATATATATAGCATATAACAGCACATTAATCCAAGGCACATGTGAACAACAATTCACAATTCTATACACTAGCTAATAGTCACATTAGGTAATACCACCAAACACTTACCTTGTGTCCAAGCAATAATCAACAGCACCAAAATTCAGCTCACTCAATAAGTGTTACGTGCACCTAATTAGAATGCAACAAGTCAGAATTACAACCTAAAAATTTCTTATACGTTACAAGACGTTTTCATTCCCTTAAGCCCTCTATTCCTATTCGGTTTGCATGGTTCTTTATCTAGCAACAGTCTGTCTTCAATTAATTTCTTTGCCCACTTATAAACAGTGAAAGAAATCCAACATTTCTCAAGCATACCAGTTCGGGTTTCAATATTAAAAAGGTTCCTGACATTGTATTCACAAATTTAACTCTACAAGACCCTGGGTGTGCTAATGGGGAAACGAATATCATACTGCCCTATTAATTTAATTCGAGCAAAACTTGATACAACAACATATACCAACTAGACCAATTTAGAATTCTAAATAATCTTTTCTATAATTTACAAACAATTTCTATGCCACCTAACTCTTGTATAGCATCGGTTTTCATGTTTTTCATGATGAATAATTTTCTGATTTCATGCTAATTATTCTAACTTGTAACAATAACAAATCCTAGGTTTTTCCCTGTATACCAATTCGGTTTTAACCTGCTTATTACTCTGAACAATTTCTGGTTTCACATTAATTTACCAATAAGTAACAGCGAATAGTTTCGACATACTCAGAATTGGATTTTAGAATTAAAAAGGATGCTCGTGATATTTATTTACATACCCAACTCTGTTAAACTTAAGGGTGCGCTAAAGGGGTTCTGTATACTTACATTCAACACATGTAAACCACTATTAATTTGCCTAACCCACTGTTATCAAGTGATCTACCCATGGGCTCCTATGTATGTATTTTCGACTTATACAGTATGCTTCAACTAGAATCTTTTAATTTTCATTTATATCGCCTTCCCTAGATGGGTTAAGAGTACACTACTAAGGTTTTAGCATGCTGTCTTCATGGTTGAAACACATGCCAGACTTGCTATGTTTTCAAGTCAAAGAGCAGTCCCCAAACAGTGAGGAGCTCTCTTCCATGTTCCAAAATAGGTTCTTTGTTTGCATGCAACAAGAGATCATGGGTTAACTAACTAGACAGAAACCAAGGAAAGGAAATGACAAACATAACTCCTCTATTAATGGTTTTAGAGACCGAAACAGTAAGGAAACAAGGGACTAATTTTACTCTACGTTACCTTATTACATGTGACCAAAGGTTCTTAAATGGTCACGGGGCAGCAACCAAAAGATGCAACAGCTTCTGCACTCTCTCAGCGCTCCAATAGTTCTGGCTTCGGCTGCATGTGAGGGGAAGTCCCATGGAGGGACAGAGAGAAATGGTGAGGTGCATGTACGGAGAGGCAGTACCTCAACTCCTTGCTAGTGTAATTCCCTGACGAACAGAAGGGTGTGGGGAAGGAAGAGGAAATTCGCCTAGAAGCTTTGGTGTTCTTCTTATGGAGCCTACGACTTGGAGGAAAGATGGGAGGGAGGAATTATAGTGATCAGATTTCTGGACCAAGAGAGCAGCAACTCGGGCTGGTCTCTCTCCTTGCTGAGCGTACCAGAATGAGGAGGTAATTTGAAGATGGTGTTGAGTGAGTTTCTCAAATTGAGGGATGGGCAATCTGTTTTCCTCCCCTTTCACGATGCTAAGAGATAATGGAATGGAAAAGATAATTGATTTAGTTATTGGCCCAATGGGAGACAACCTCACAGATTACATGAGGATAATTTGAAGGGTATGTTAAAGAATATGACCAAAGACTTGTCGGGCTGAACTAGTTACTCTTGTGGGGCTTGGGCCGCAACACATATTTAGTTATTGGGTCCAAAACTAACTCCTAATGAACCTCATTCCTCATAATTATATCTAGTATAAGTTGTTCTTAATTTAAATTAAGTTCACACTATATATATATATATATATATATATATATATATATATATATATATATATATATATATATATCGAATGACAAGTCAAGCTTCTACATTATGAATGATAATTTATATAAGTTCCTAATTTTTACGGGATGTTACACTCTCCCCAACTTGTTTGAAAGTTTGTCTCCAAACTTCGTCTCACCATTCCAAAATCTGCCTAAGTCTAACGCTTAACACCATTATACCATGCCATACAGTTTACTGCATTCAAACAGCCAGCTATAAAAGTCACCAAACATCTCAGAACATTACTAACAAATTTGTACTTTACATGATCATTAAGTAATATAGATATAACACAATTTTGTTCGTACGGAAGAAATAAATAAAAATATTTTCCTAAGCTTAATCATGATACGAGCAATTTCCTGAGTTCTTTTTAAGTATCAACAAATATTATAACACACAAGTGGAAGAAAACGGACAAAAATCTTGCTAAACCAAGAAATTCCAGCTACAAAAAAACTGTAATAGAGTTCAGGGTTTTAGTGCATAATTAATAGCCAACTAAGCAAATCCATTTACAAAACACTTCTTTACTATATAAATTTTAATAATTATTACTAGTGTAGGCATAAGTGATTAACCTTCTATTCACCCGATTCAGAATTATAACACAGGAAGTAAAACATGGCAATAGACAGAGGCTTCTCAAAATCTCTTATCATCACTCATCCTAGATGACACATCCCACTACTACTCATTGATCATAAATTTTAAAGGTTTCCATATAAAATGCGACTAACAGTCAGTGGCCTAAATCAAAAAGAGCTTCTAAGAATGTAAGGTTCCATCTAATCATGAAGTAACATTACCTCCTATTACTTACACAAACTTAGGCTGATAAACTAGGGCCTCAATGTTTCGTCTTTGTAATGTACAGGTTACAATTAAAAGTGCCATTACTTCCTAACTTAAGTCTTATCAATGACAATGACTCGGATCACTCACCAAACACATCGCACATTCGCATTATATCAGACTTTCACATTAATTATCTTACTAAATCAAATCACAAACAGAATTCGATATAATTATTAGCCTTCAGGAATTCAAGCAAATAAAATAGGACACATCTCATTCCAATTTTCAAACAAACGGAGTCTTCATAAAATCACAAAACTTCTATCCTACTTTACAGACATATCATGTTAAGTGGTACCCCTCATACAGCTCGTCAAAACACCCATATGAGGAAACTTCCTCGAGCTTTCCGCTGTCCTAGGTACCTCAGATGTAATTGACTCCACTGATCAAGGGATCCATTAATCATGATATGACTTTCCAATTATCGACACATTTTACAATTTTGAAACAGCTACCCCACATAATCCACTAACAAAGACCACACTGTCATAATTCAAGTTCACAAAACCACATCCAATTTCCGAGTTGCAATTAAATTTCCATCTATAATGACAAGTCACAAGCACGACACAAACCTCATGCAGAAAAGCACCAAATCCGAAGTCCACTTAAACAGAAAACTAATCTCATCCATACAAGCAACAATACATCCATCCGGTGAGAGCATTTTAAAAAAATAATAATAATATTTCATGCTGTATTTAAACAATTTCAAAATGAATATCAAACTTTTAACATGAGGTGTGTAACAGCCCGTTACGTATCGGTATTGTTAACATTAATTATGATATTAAACGCAGTTACAATCACAGCAAATCATTTATAAAAATACGAATAAACTTTTTCCGATTATTACGCGAGCATTTAAAACAATAAAACGCGTAATAATTAAAAGCTGTGACTATAACTGTTAAATCTTGTGGAATATTTATTTTATCTATTTTTACATCACAATATACTTATTATAAGTTACTAAGGGGTTCCCATAAACCCACTTAGCCAATTATCAAACTTTACGTTTTTACCTATTCGAACATGGTTCACTCCTAAATTTTCTGCGAACACACCGCTCACAACAAGACCTTCTTCTCAGATTATATCTTTGTCTTACTTAATTCCCTTTTCAAAAAAGCTATCACACGCTCAATTCGGAGATCATTTGCTCCGGTTATCGCCGTTTGAAGTTGGACAAGCAAAACAGCCAACCAACCCCAAAACAGCTCAAAACCTCTCCCACTCTCGGAATTTCTGCACTGAATACACTAATCTAATTGCCCTCAAATTTTTACACCATAAACTAGACACCTTAATCTTCGATTTTATATATCATACGCTTAATTTGACCCAGAATCGAGGCGGGAATAAAATTCCCAAAACTGGTCCAGAACTGCCACATGTGCAGTAGGCACATGAGCAGTCTGCTTCCTCCATTTTTTTCAGGTCGAAGACCAACCCATATTTTTCCCAAATTTTGACACAAGGTAGAAGACATCTCAACCTTCAAAATGGCATATGGCACGTCCCTATTGGACCTATATAGAGAGAGATATTCTCTCCCGAAGTTCGCCTAAAATCTGCCAATTCTACAGAAAATTCGCCAGAGTTTCCTTTGTTTTTCCAATAATCCCAAATTTGTACAAGATCATTTAAGCCTCAAATGTACCTAATAATCACATAATAATACAGTAATAATCCAATGGGTGGCACACACAAGGACCAACAACGCCTTGGGGCACTTACAACCCAATCCAGTTTATAGTTATTAGACATATAGCTCATATTTATCATTCTTAAATAGTTGCATTCACCAACACCATTTTCATGCACATTTTCATCATACATTTAATCATAACCTACAATAGGCCTAAGACCCTTCCATCATAAATAGACATGCATTAAGATACGATTACAATATTGCTTTACAACTTACAACTCCCAATGAAACTTAATTACAACCTTCCAATATTACAACATAAATACAAATGGTAAAATATAATACATGGCATGACCACTAGACTTAGGCAAAATGACATGAACAAGATGCTAATGAAGCTCCTACTAAATACAAATGAGATGTTAATGCCCTAAGTCTAGCCTAGGCCACATGGCCAACAAAATGCAAAAGGCTAAAGCTCCACTGAGTCACTATGCGGGCCTCTTGCCCGCTGCTCCAGCTCCACTGCTACCTCCTGAAATAAATGCCCCGAGACGAGGTGAGATATACGAATATATCTCAATAACCCAGAGGTTCTGGAGAAAACTCCTCTCAATGGTTCACTTCGATGCATATGAATAGAATACAACAACCACTTTTTAAAACGGGATATAGCAAGGGTTTTAGAGAAACAGGGAATATAGAGATACAAACTACGACGATACGGGATGGTAGCTACCAATACCACGTACGCCCTGGGCATATATAAGCCTATGGGTATCATCCAAGGTGCGTTCCAAAAACCACAACCATGATGCCCCAACCATCCAAAACGCCAGAGACATTCCTAGTGTGCTCCTACCCGGATCACACACCATGACCCTCGGTCAACTGGAACTCCCTCTCGGAGACCTATCTAGTGGAAGTCCGAAACTGCCCGAAGGCTAAGAAAAACTGTCTACTGGCCAGAGACTCGGTACATAAGTACCCACTGTAATAATGCATGCATGCTCATGTGTTCTACACTACTCATATACACTTCCTACCGTTGCCATCAACTGGCAAGGTGGAACAGAAAAGGGGAACATGCCCCAGTACCAAGAGATTACCTTAAATAGTTTTCTCACTTAGCTCCGCAGCAGCTTAAGTTCCAAGTCTGCTACTCAACAGAACGCCTACACATAGGACGTTCCCACTTACTCAATGTTCACAAAATGCATGGCAAATCTCAATTTCACATGCATAATACAATCACTTACCTCAATCCACTTGGTCCAGGACCAAGGGCAATGCACTGATTCACTGTTCAGGATTCAAGTCGACATACGGCAACCTATACAACCATGTACAGCCGTCAGTATACGTCAATTTACGTCAAAACGCGAAAAAACACAAAAATCCTTCCCATCACCATGATGGTTCGGCCCTTGTAGTGTTCTTTTAGGATTTATTTTTCTAAATTTTCTTTCTCATTTTATTATGCTTCCTTAGGCTGCCAAGAGGCCAATTCAAGTGCCGTTTTTCTGTTTTACGTCTTTTACTCATTGTTTTGCTAAGTAATTCACTCTAGGTTCATTTATGTCCCTAAACACAAGTTATTATTTTCCATTGATTCTAATCATTTTTCAACATCAATTCACTCATTTTTCCTCAAAGGGTCGAATTGTGTCCTATGACACTCCAAGGAGTTTCCAATCAATTTCAACCATTCCACACCTTCTATCATCCTATTTTATCATCATACGATCATACAACAACTCATTAATCAATCCTAACACATTTTCAAAAATCCAAGTCATGACAATCCTCAAAATTTTAAGTTATAAATTCATATTTTTCACCAATAAATTTCATCGCATTTCTAGCTCTAACACATCATTCTAACACATTATCATCTAATACACATTTTTCAATTGAGCTCCCTAACACAACACATCATCAAATCAAGCTTTAGGTTTCCAAAAATTCAATCACAATTAAATCATGTAAATAGGATGGAAACATACTCACAACAAAGGATAGAAGCTACCCCAAGACTCCTCAAAGCAATGGAAGCTCAAAAAGCTCCATGAACATCCATTTTTCTCCAAAATTTCGTGGCTGTAAATGGAAAATATCTCACCAAATAGAGGTTTTCAAGGTGAATGGATAATACCAATGTGTTTGGAAGGTTGCTTCCAACAAATTTCAACACAAAAATCACTCGATTCGG